GTTGGGGCCCATCGGCGCCAGGAAGTGCTCTACTGCTGCTTTGCTGCCAGTGCCGCTTCGCCAACACCTGCCATGTTCTACACTGCCCCCTGGTGGTCAGCGCACTTATAACTCCCAGTCAATTGAACTCCCGCCTGTGGGGACAATTTGCATATTAGCCTTTTATTATATAGGATATATCTATATCTGTATCTGTATCTGTATCTATATCTATCTATATCCCTGTGCTATCCCTTTGTAGTCATACCCTCACCCACTCATCAGCCTTGGAAACCACTGATCAGTGCTCCATCACTGTGGTTTTGTCCTTTTGAAACTCTCATATAAATGTACACAACCTTTTAAGCCTGCTTCTTTTACTCAGCATAATGCCTTTGAGATTCATCCTCATGTACATCGATAGTTTGTTGTTACCCACCTTTGATTTCTTTGAATAACTTTCTAATTAGTTGCCAAATCTGGCCTCCCTTTTCTCCTACTTAATGTGGTGTTTCAATACCCAGAATTTATCCCTGAAAACATATGTGATTCTTTCTCTTTATTAAAATTTAATATTACTTGCTATTCTTTCCCTCTCTTCAAAAGGCAGCAGGCTCTTTAAATCAAGGTTCTTTAAATGTATTTGATTGTGAAGCTCTCACAGTAAAAGCTTTCTGAGAATGAACCCCTAATACAGGTATATTTATTTATTTGCAGCTAATACTGCTGAACTCATATTGTGTATATTACCAAACATACATGAAAATAGAAAATTCAAAAAAATAATAAATAGATAAAAATACCAATTCTAATGGTTTGCTTTCTATTCTCCAACATATCTGTGCTGCTGCTGTGGGGTAGGTACCTCAATTTAGAGACTACCAGCTGCTAGGAAGCTAAGATCGGGTATGATTTCTCACCGCTAGCCCCAACACCAGGAGGCTAGCTGAGAGGCTAGCCCCATTTGAGTTACTTCCTTTGGTTACTATCCGGCATTGAAGTATCAGGGACCAGACACCGTGAGTACTCACTGCCAAACAGATCTGCACACATTGTTGTTTTCTCAGTTGACTCCCAAATCCAGCTGCTTTGCCTAGATTCTAGCATATTCCCCAGTGTGTAATATGACCCATTAGAATGACTTTTCCTTGGTAGAAAATGGAACTGTAGCCAGCTTCAGGAAGCTTGTGAAATAGGACAGGTTGGCCTGCACTGCCCAGTCTCTCCCTTGTGAGGTAATCAGCCCTCTCCATCCCCTCTAGCTTTCCATAGTTTGCTACTAGCACTTGGAGTGCGGGTGAATTTCCCGCCAAAATATAAGATGGCTCTGTCTTTTGGTTTTGTTCCATCCACCAAAAGGGTGGATTACAAACAAATATTTGGTAATACGCAGTTACAATCGGCCCGAGTTTACACGTTTCCCGCACTCCACCGCAAATCTATATGAACCGAGTTAAAGACGGCTCCCGCGGAGTACGCGCAATTCACGCGAGCCGACTTAACTCGTTTCCCGCACTCCAAGTGCTAGCATAGACTAACCGAGATGCTGGTTTAGACTTCCTCAGCAGCAGACCCTCAGACAAGCGTTTGAGAGCAAGAAGTTTATTTGGAAGATGAAGGCAAACCCAGTAGGGGAGTGGGGAAGTGAGAAAGGAAGGAGAAACAGCCAAGATAGCCAAGAAAGTGTAAGTCTAGCCTACAGAGGTGGAAAGGCAACCACTTTTCTCTACCCTCTCAAAAGTCTAACTGCAGCATTGTAATTAGGACCACAGTTCATTCTCATTTTTACTTTGCCTCTCCCATTTCACATCCTTGTTAAGTACTATAAAATAGACATGTCTACAGGAACACCCTCGTCTCTCCCTTACCTCTTCTTCTGGCTAACTCTTAACTCTGGCTGCTCAATCATCAGGTCTTAGCCTGACCACCACTTCTAGAAAGCCTTCTCTCATCCCCCTTTTTGTGATGGGGCTCTTTCTCTGTGTCCACCTATCTGTCCTATTAGAGATCTTATTATACTGTATTTCATTTATTCATATAATAAATATTATGTGCCTGGCACTGTTTTAGGTACCTGGAGCTTATATTGCAATAGGGGAGAGAGATTTTTAAAAGTATGTTTTATTGATTATTAGAGAGAGAGGAAGGGAGAGAGAGACAGAAACATTGGTTGGGCCCTAGCTGGTTTGGCTCAGTGGATAGAGCATTGGCCTGTGGACTGAAGGATCCCGGGTTCAATTCCGATTAAGGGCACATGCCTGGGATGTTGGCTCGATCCCCCGTAGGGGGTGTGCAGGAAGCAGCTGATCAATGATTCTCTCTCATCACTGATGTTTCTATCTCTCTTTCCTTCTCCCTTCCTCTCTGAAATCAATAAAAAAACAAACAAACAACAAAAGAAACATTGATCGGCTGCCTCCTACACATCCCCTACTGAAGATCAAGACCGCATCCTGGGCATGTGCCCTGACCCAGAATCAAACCAGTGACCTCTTGGTACATAGGTTGATGCTCAACCACTAAGCCACACTGGCCAGGTGGGGAGACAGATTTTAATTTCTCATTTACCTATGTGTGTGTCTCACCTAATTGTTTCCATTTTCTTCACCATTTATGTCCATCCCTCAGCACAATGTCTGCCACATAGGAGATGTTCAATAAAAATGTGTTGATTTGAATGAAACAGCACAAGGCATCTTAGTTAAGGATGATTTGGTATTTCTATGGCCTTTTCTGGGGGGAAAATGAGCTCTCATCTTCCCTATTGGCTGTTACCCTATGATGATGTGCCCATTGAGAGATAAATTGACCCATTATTTTTTCTTTTTTCAGACTAAGACAACACATCCATCTTCAGCTGGAGGAAAACCAGATAACATCTGAGTAGAAGCTGGAAACATCATTTTACAAACATATAAGGTGCTGACTGAGGCAGTGTAGTGTAATGATTATAAGTAGAGGTTGTAGAGTCAAAGTGCCTGGGTTCATATCCCAGCTCTGCTACTTATTTGCTGTTTGACTTTGGGCTATAGTTCCTAATTCGTAAATAGGGATAATAGTAGTCTCATACGATGGTGTGTGGATTAGGTACGGTTAACACATTTAAAATTTGTAAGTGCCTAGAACATAGTAAGTACTTAGTAAATCTGATACTGTCATTATGATTTGTTAACATACATCAACACTCATTTAATAATTGGAAGCTGGCTATAGGACTCTGTGGTGCTCAAAGTAGCATTTTGGCGTGCTTTGTACAATGGAAAAATATGGTTAAATTCTTCATTTTAAGCAAATTTTAAGTTTTGGACAAGTCACATATAGGGCACAGCCAATCCAATTCATGATCCAGAAGCTGATCATTAAAATAACTACCTAAATCACAAGTTCTTATCCTCTTTTTCTTTCTTTCTGAGATTAAACAAATATTTGCATTTGGTGCTGGAAATGCCAAGAGGAATGAAATGGATCCTTTCCCTTCAGGGTTTCACATGTAAAAGGACAAATTACAGTGCACTTTGGGAAGTTCTATAATTGGACACACACATGGCTTTGAGTGCCAGAAGACAGAGTGACTAAGTCCCCTTTGGTGATTCAGGAAAGACATCACACAGAGGAGGTGACATTTGAACAACTGTATCTAGACCATAGCCATCATTTAATCACTGGATTGAATAGGCATTTGGCTGGAAACTCAGCCATACAGTGACATTATCCATTATTTTTGGGGGGAGCCTGGCTAATTATGTTATCATTTGCAATGTGTACGGCAGTCTCCTCAGGTTCTGGGTTTGGAGTTCCTGCCATAGAAAACTATATGGTTACATTATCTCATAAGAGGCCCTCTGATAATGTTTAATATGCTAATAAGAGTAGAGAAGCCCAGAGCGACCTTTCCAGTTATTTTTAAAGTGATTCCATTAGTATAAATATCAAGCTAGGTAACTGCTTTACTGGATCTCCTGTGGTACCAAATTGCAGAAAGGAATTGGCTAAAGAGTAGCTTGGGTGGGGTTATGAAATAATTATGTCTGGAGTCCTTTAAATCCTAGCTCTCTATGCCTAAGGCCAGTAAGCTAAGGCCATACGCTGTGTAACCAACTAGGAAGAGTTTGGGAGGCAAATTGCTGTCAGTGCAGCTGCACTCAGCGTGAGACCCTGGGAACAGGTCACCCCTGATTGCCTCAAAAGACAGCCGAACTGTGGCTGGTGGCATCCAGTACTGACATCCGCACTTCGATTATTCAAGTGTGTCTTCGCTCCTCATCCTTCTCAAACTCAGCAAAATTACAGGTCAACTTTCCTTTTCCTTTCTGCTGATGGTGGGAGGTGAATCTCCCTTTCACAGATGGGTTCTTCAGCAAGCGGCTAATTGAATAGCTGGAGGAATAAAAATGTCATATAAATAAATTTGCAGCACAGCACCTAGCAGCTGCCCCTTTAACCCATGCTTTTTCAAGTCCTAAGGAGGAATGGTTAGTGATTCCACTTCCTTTTCTTAATTGTACTGAGAGGTTACTGTAATGTTTCCTAGAAATCATTCTTGATTTACCTAAAGAGTCAGCCATTGAATGCTTTTCTGCCCTTATTTGCCAAAATTCTCTTTTATACTTTGTAGTGATGCATATTATTTATGCAGACAGCGGCCTGGTCCTGCCCTTACAGAGCCTGGTCCCCTTGGAAGCAGTCATGTGATCACAGCCCATTACTTGAGCACATCCCTATCTTCTAGCTTGAAACAAGGCAGGGTTGGGGCAGAAAGCTGTGGCTGCTGGCCAGAGCTCAGTCTTTCCCGGATCTGTGGCTCTGGGCTCGGCTTCCAGGCTGAAAGGCAAAGCAGCTGTGGCCTGTTTGGGTTATTTCTTTGTGTGTGCGGGTGTGTGTTTTTTTCTTGATTTATTTAAGCCGGAGCTCATCCTGCAGAGAGCTGCAGAGATGTGAGATGTGTGGAGTGCGTGTGTATATGTAGGGGGTGTTCCAGAGAGAGCTGACTTCTATCTTTTTTCTTTCAGACTTCAGTATTCCTCATAGAGAACGTTTTTTTGGGGGGTGAGGAAAAACCTCTGCATTGGCCAAGCAAAAGAACCAGGTAATATGTTTGTTTGTTCTTAGGTATTTGGGGGAAGCAGAAGTCTACATTATAAGCATATATTATGTAGCAACAAAGCAGGGAATGTGTACTCCTTGGAGTTTATTTGATTGCTTTGCAATTTCTCAGATTGATTTTTCTCAAGGATGCTGATTGCAAATCACTTGCCATCGTCTTAAAAAATGTGCACAGATGACTTTGCAATCTGAAGGGTTATGGCCTATTTCAAATGAACATGATATTTGGAAAAACTTTGTGGTTACTTGGGTGAGAGCTAGAAAAGGAGGGAAGGGATACTTTAAGAAACTCTTTTAGGCCCTTCATGGGGTGTTCCCTAAACCCCATTGTGCAACTTCGTGTTCAGAATGTTCAGAAATCTTTTTTTAGCTCCCTTGGCCTCTTGTTACCACAGAGCACCACAGGGTTTCCATCTGTCTGTAAGAAAGGGAAACAGAATTCCCTGCAACATTAAAGAATTCTCATTAGTGATTTAGTGCTTACATAGATTGACCAGGTTGGGTCCTGAAACCAAGGCATAGCAAACCTTTTAGTGGACAGACATTTTTGTTTTTTAAGATTAAACAGAGTAGGTCTTCAGTTCTGCCACTGATCAGCGTGCCACGGAGTACAATATTTAATTTCTGAGTCTCAGTGTCTTCATCTGTAATATGGGAGTGATGATATCATCTTGAAGATTGCTGTGAAGATTAACTGGATTAATGGAAATACAAAGCATCCACTGTGCTGGGTAAATAATAGTTCCTTAATAAGTAGTGGTGATTTTAGCTGCCATTATTATTATTATTATTATTATTATTATACTGGTATAGTGTTCTTTCAGATCTTAGCGTTCTCAGGGAGAAAGAGCCCATATCTTGTGAATCTGCAATTATCCCAGAACCTGTAGACACCCAAGGGATTTAGTCTCTGGAAGGTCCCAGACAATGCATTTGGAAGGAGGAGATTAGAGCAAACACAAGTTTCATTTCAACACTTCTACCACAGGGGTACCCACCCATGCATAGCCCCTCCTAACTCATCAGCTAAGTATTGCTCCTTCCTCAGTACAAGTATGAGAGGTATGTTATTATCCCTAGTTCCTTATGAGAAAACTGAGGTGCAGAGGAATTAATGACTAGCTGAGAAGAATTTAAACTCTGGTTTGTCTGACTTCTAAACCCCAGGCTCCACTGGGTCAGCATTAAGCAGTTAGGAACCATAGGTGTTTTTGAGATGGTTTCCCTCAAAAGGGTTCCCTGCTAGGCTGTTTGGGAAACAGTGGACACTGTAGCTCTTTCTTAGAAATTGATGATGCACATTAACATATTGAAGGCTCCGAGGAGTCCTGTAGTAAAGAAACCTGTGTAAACCTACTTCTCCTGAACTTATTTGATAATGAGATCTTTTTTTTTTTTGGCCTTATTCCTAGAATTATAAATAGCATGGAACTACACTTCCACAAACACGCTTTGGAAAACCTGGCACCAGGCCAAGTTGCCCCTCATCACAGTCCTTCCTCATATAATAGCAGATACCCTCAGATACCTTCTAGTGGCCAGTATAATTTCCACCCTTTTCTTATCCTTTAATCTAATGAGACCCAAGAAGAATCAGCAGCTCAGTCCTACAGATTTCCCCTTATTTATTTAGGACCCCAGATACAAGCAAATGCTACAGTGTTTTACTGGAAAGGTAGTAGTGGAAGGAGCCTCTCTAGCATGGTCTGCCAGGGACTCCTCTACTCTATGCCCTTTAGTTATATTTAGGCCACAGACATCAGGTTGTAGAACCCCTGTTTTTTAAAAAAATATATATTTTTATTGATTTCAGAGAGGAAGGGAGAGGGAGAGAGAGCTAGAAACATCAATGATGAGAGAGAATAATTGATTGGCTGCCTCCTGCATGACCCCCACTGAGGATCAAGCCCACAACCTGGGCATATGGCCTGACTGGGAATCGAACTGTGACCTCCTGGTTCATAGGTCTATGCTCAACCACTGAGCCACACCCACCAGGCTAGAACCCCTCTTTTGATGAATACCAAATGTCATGCAGCAGAGTGAGCCTGAAGAGGTATCTGGAGGACACATCTGTGGTGTCCACAGTTGAATGACTGGGTTCTAGATTTGGCTTCCTCAGGGCCAGAGCTAGAATAGGCATTTCTCACAAAAGCTGAGTTTCTGCTGGGAATAGCTAAGTTTCTAGCATGGGAAACCAACCATAGTTCACATCTAGAATGCCAGAAGTGGAATCAAGATCAACGTGGCTGAGCCAAGGTGTGAGGGTTCAGTAGAGATGTACTTTGAAATAAAATAATGAATAAGAACAACTTGAGGAGACTGGGCTAGCTTAGAGGGTACTTGATGGCCAAGGTTAGCTTGGCTCCAAGGACCATCTTTTGTTCTTTCTTTGTATCTTCACCTTTGGAAATGAAAAGTGGCCAGGATGAAAAGAAATGAACATCAAACCGTTCAACCCTCCACTTCTCCCCCTCACCCCCCCTTCCACACATACACTTACACACACACAGTGAAAACCTTTTAGTGGAAGCCTTAGAAACCTTTCGTTTTGCAACAGTTTAAATGAGTGCCAATGATGAATCACTATTTTATGTTTATGCTTAAAAAGCATCCTCGGTATATATGTATATATCGGTAAGGGACGGTGGCACTGGGCAAGTTTCAAGCTATTTTTTGACTAACTATGGCATCCTTGGGTCTTTGTGAATGCTCCTGATGCTCCCCACCTCTAGAGCTGAAGAACCCATTTCAGGCCCCAGGAAATTGTTTCTTCAGAGACTCTTTAGCACACTAAATGCTTTTCTAATGCTGACAGAGGGCAGGAAATGGAAGGAGCTTATGTTTTCCCAAATAATGGAAAATCCCCAAATCATTTTTATCAGCTTAGCAACTAGCCAGAGCTGTCCTCAAAGGCACATCTTTAAAAACTTGCTTCCCTCTCTGCCTTTAAGTGGATAATTACAGTCTAAGTTGGGCAGTGTGTGGGAGTAGGAAGTGGCATCTGGCTTTAACCAGGTCTTGTTTTGGCGAGAATTAAAATGAACTCTCTTTTTCTTTTTTTAAAATTTATTGATTTTAGAGAGACTGAGGCACTGGACAAGTTTCTGATTCAACAATAGGAAGTGATATATTTCAATCTCCATTTTCTTTTTCCAGAAAAAGAAAGAAAGCAATATTTAATAATGTAAAAATTCTAATAACAACTATTTTTTCTAATACCAAAGAATTCTAAAACAATTCTCATTTCCATCATGATTTAAAAATTTTGTTTAAAAATGGATGTATAAATTACTATCCATTTTCTGGTTTAATAAAAGGTTTATAATCAAATAGCCAGCATCTGTGCACAAAATTATAGACTAATAATTATCTTTAGTTATTAATTTTTAAAGGACTCTGGCTTAGAAATATTCATTCATTCATGCATTCAGCATTTATCAAATACTTGCTATGTTAAAGACACTGTGTAGGTGCCAGAGATTCAAGGAATGTTTAAAAAGTAAGATACCCTAGAAGCTTACAGTCCAGCAGAAATATATTTAACTATGATGCTTTTTCAGTTCCTAGTGAATCTTTTATATGGACTTTTGTTGTGCAGTGAATTAACTGAGAACCAAATGCCTTTGGAGAGATATATTGCTTTATTTATTTCTTTTTCTGAAAAAAGAAAATCACGATTGAAATATATCACTTCTTTTTGTTGAATCAGTGTTTGTTGCCTACTCAATGCCCAACTCTTATCTATATACTAGAGGCCCGGTGCACGAAATTCATGCACGAGGGGGGGTTCCCCTCAGACCAGCCTGGACCCTCTCCAATCCGGGACCCCTTAGGGGATGTCTGCCGGTTAAGGCCCGATCCCGGGGATCGGGCCTAAACTGGCAGTCAGACATCCCTCTCACAATCCTGGACTCCTGGCTCCTAATCGCTCACCTGCCTGCCTGCCTGGTCACCCCTTACTGCCCCCCCTGCCGGCCTGGTCACCCCCAACTGCCCCCCTCTGCAGGCCTGGTTGCCCCTAACTGCCCCCCTGCTGGCCTGGTTGCCCCCAACTGCATGCCCCACTGGCCTAGTCACCCCTCACTGCCCCCCCTGCCAGCCTAATTGCCCCCAAATGCCCCCCCGTTGGCCTGGTTGCCCCCAACTGCAACCCCCCCACTGGCCTGGTCACCCCTAACTGCCCCCCCTGCCGGCCTGGTCACCTTATGCAGCCTGCTTATTCAGTCATTTGGTCGTCCCTCACTAACCACCCTGCTAGCCTGATCACCCCACACAGCCTGTTTTTTCAGTCATTTGGTCGTCCCTCACTAATCCCCCTGCCGGCCTGGTCGCCCCACACAGCCTGCTTGCTCAGTTGTTTGGTCGTCACTCACTAATCCCCCTGCCGGCCTTGTCGCCCCACACAGCCTGCTTGCTCAGTCGTTTGGTCGTCACTCATTAAGCCCCCTGCCGGCCTGGTCATAGGCAGCCACCTTGTGAGGGTGTGATGGTCAATTTGCATATTACCTCTTTATTATCTATGCTAATAAAAGGGTAATATGTTAATTAGACT